GAACCCGCCACCTTAGGTGTATGTGGCTGGCGCCTTAGCCGCTTGAGCCATAGGCGCCGAGCCCTGGCTATTTTTTGGTTGTAGTTATCATTGTTGTTTGGCAGGCCCAGGCTGGATTTGAACCAGCCAGCTCTGGTGTATGTGGCTAGCCCCTTGAGCTACAGGCACCGAGCCTCTTGATGTCTTCTTATCTGAGCCTCTAGGGTACCTCTGCCTCTGAAATATTTCTGCCCATAGTGTTAGCCACCATTTGAAAAGCTTCTTTCTGTTCTCAGGGCTAATTGCTGGCCTTGTCTCCTCTTCTGGCTCTCTCTGTCTCCATCCACTTATCAAAACCTTATTTTTGGAATTTATTGGAATATTGGGAGATCAAGTATACTACCAGGATAGATTGTCTCTCCATAGTGCCAGGATCTAAATTAGGAAGGAGGGAGTGAAAAGAGACACCTTATCTGGAAAGTGAAGACAGTGAGAGTAGGTAGAATGTAGATTATTAAGTCCAGCAAGCTTAAAACCTCAGCAGAACATAAGTAATTTAAAGAAAGCTTTGGAAAAAAAAAAAAAAGTAAGTTAGTGAAACATATCTCCTCCTGGCTGGCTCCCCAGCTAAAATGAGTTTTATATGGGCTTTAGAAGGGGAACCATCCCTAGGCCCCTCTGCCTTGGGTAAGGCGGGGTTGACAGTCTTAGCTCCTCTTCTGGAGCTGATGAGACGATGGGAGTATTGGCCATACCGGCCTTATCCATCTCGCTTACAGGGATCACCCTGAACTACTTTTTTCTCCTGAGTAGCTGACTTTTCCCCTCTTTTCTCTAAACTGTTAGAAGATTCTCTTATTTTCTTGCATCTGTATTATGTAAAGACAAAAGGTTGGACATATGGAATTTTATCCCATTTTCCTGATCATTGACAAAACAATTTAAGGTGTAAAATAGTATAATAATTTAAAGAACCATTCAAGGGCCAATATATTCACAGGCTAAGCAGTATTATAAATTCCTTTTTGTCAAAGGGTAATAGTTATAAGTGACCCAATTAGACAGGATTCCCAAGAGTGTACTCATTACCAGACCAGAATAAAGGACAAGCTTTTCCTTAGGAACAAGGGATGTTAATTTGACCTGCAAACATCCCAGTGGTACCTCTGGAGGAGAGTCCAAGTCATGTTTCTTCAGCTCCTTATGTCCCAATCACCCAAAGAGTTATGGCAAATAGGGAGAACCCCAATACTTGCCATGAGCCTCTGGGTGTTGTCCCATGTTGGGTACCAGGTATGTAACTGGGGCATTGGAACTAGAGCCAAATATGTGCTTGGTAGTTGGCAGAATTCAATTACTTTCATTTATAGGACATAAGTGCCCACTTTCTTGTGGACTGTCAATCAGGAACCTTGTCTCCTAGAGTTCACTTGCCATTCCATGTCACATTGAATGACATTCCATGTCACAGTTTGACGTTCCATGTCACAATTTATACCTTCAAAGCAAACAGGACAGCTTATGCTGTCCACGGCTTCAAATCTCTAGGACTTCTGCTTCTAATCTCTACACCAGTGATTTTCAACTACTGTGCCATGCCACACTGGCACACTGTGAGGTTATTAATAATAATTATTTTCAAAATAATTTCAAAGTACAGCAAGTATATTCCCTTTCTACTCATTTTTTTGTTGATCAGTATAATTGAAGTATACTTCAGAAGTTTAACTATTGGTTCAAATGTTCTGTGAGATAGAAAAGATTGAAAAACAGTGCTCTACACCAAGATTTAAAAGGCTAGAGTGATAAGGTCAGACCCACCTAGGATAAATCTCCCTTTTGTTTAACTCAAAGCTAATTGATCAAGTACCTTAGTTATATCTTTGCCCTATAACACAACTTAATTACACGAGTAATACCCTATAATATTCATAGTACCAATCTCATTTAAGGTGAGAGACTTTACAATCTCATTAAGGGGAGAGACTTTACAGAGTGTGTGTAGTATGGGGTGTAAATCCTGGGATCCATCTTGGAATTCCACCGCCCACAGCCAGCCATAAAAACTGCCTAAGCATATAGTTAATTGATATGGCCTTTTATAATCAAAATAGATCGTTTGAAGTTGTGGGATATTCATGGTTAGCTACTAATAAACACTATTCTCATGGCAAGAATATATTTAAATAGGAAAGATGGCAATACAGGCAGAAAAATCAAGTGATGCTAAACAAAAGAAAGCCACCTTTGATTTTAAAATAATTCAATTTGCCATCTTATCTCTTTCCTAGACCTTCAGGCATCCTTTGCCCACATCTACCAATGCGACCATTGCTTGTCCTTCTGAATTCCTAAGGGGGAATAAGAATGGGGAGAAAAGCAAACTAATTTACTTAATGCTTAATTAAACTTGCCTCCCTCTTTGCCCCTTGTGTAGGCCTGGGCACACGGAGGCTGCAATATTTGGTAAACTGGTTTGTCAGGTCATAACCCCTCTTCAGTGGCACTAGGTCTAGTAGCAGTTCTTCGGGGGTGGAGCCCGGGGCGCAGAGCGAACGTCACGATTGGCCGGCGTTCCGGGACACCTCGGTTCCCCGGCTCTGTGTCTCTCGACCGCTCTGTCTCTCACAGCTCACCTCTATGGTTTCGTTGTGGTTTCATCCGGAATAGGCGAAGCTTCCGGTTCCGGCGGGGGCCGTCCCTGGCGGCGGAGATGGCGGCGACGGCGGCTGAGGCTGTGGCATCGGGCTCCGCAGGGCCCCGGGAAGAAGCTGAAGCCCCCGGCCCCACCTGGGATGAGTCCCAGTTGCGCAGTTACAGCTTCCCGACCAGGCCCATCCCCCGTCTGAGTCAGAGTGACCCTCGGGCAGAAGAGCTTATTGAGAATGAGGTGGGGGGCGGGGCCGCGTCTGAAGGGAGAGGCGGAAGGTCAGAGGCGAATGGTGGCAGGAGTGGGGGACCGGCTGGGCTTGGACTTGGGCGTGAAGGAGAGGTGGTGGTGAGGGAGGCGACAAGTGGGACTTGAGCTGTTTATCCTGCTTAATGGAAGAAATTAATGTGCAGTTGGAAAGTAGTTGGGATCACAGGAGGAGAACCCACCAGCTCCTTGGGATTACTTTCTTTGTTTATTTATATTTATCCCTCAATCTGGCGTTCTCACCTAGGAGCCTGTGGTGCTGACCGACACAAATCTTGTGTATCCTGCCCTGAAATGGGACCTTGAGTACCTACAAGAGAATATCGGCAACGGAGACTTCTCTGTATATAGTGCTAGTACCCATAAGTTCTTGTATTATGATGAGAAGAAGATGGCTAATTTCCAGAACTTTAAGCCAAGGTCCAACAGGGAGGAAATGAAATTTCATGAGTTTGTGGAGAAATTGCAGGATATACAACAACGAGGAGGGGAAGAGAGGTAAGTTCCTAAATCTTGGTTTTTCTGTTGGACTTAGGGCATCCATTTTCTTTTCCTGCATTTGATTGAAGGTGTGGTAGAGTTGGGTGATTAGAGATTGGTGGCTCTCATCTCTGGATTTCTGTTCAGTGTATAGTATACTCTTCCAGCCTGTTAGAGTTATTTTTAGCGATTTGGGGGCCACAGCCAGCTAAGTCTCTAGCGTGAAGAATGAAGTAACAATAGATTTGAACTGTGAATCTCTAGTTTTGCATGTTCTTCCTCATAAAACAAGAGTCACTGTTGTCTAGGACAGTTAGGCAGATGAATGAATGAGTGGAGTTGTCTGAGTGCAAATTAATGATGAAGCCGAAGACATATGCCCTGTTCAATGTGAGGAGTCATTATTTAACTCTGCTTGCTTCCATTTGGAAGTGCAGTCTTGTTCTGATTTTTCAAGAGAAGCTTGAAATCAGGGTTTGTTTGTTTGTTTTGTTTTGTTTTTTAAAATAGAGTCTTGCTTTGTTGCTCAGGCAAGAATTCAGTGATGTCTTCATAGCTCACTGTAACTTTCTAGGCTCAAGGGACCCTCCTCACTCAGCCACCAGAGTAGGTGGGACTACAGGCACATGCCATCACGCCTGGCTAATTTTTCTATTTTTTATAGATGTGGAGTCTTGGATGTTGCTTTGGCTGGCCTCAAATTCCTGGCCTCAAGTGATCCTTCTGCCTCAGCCTCCCAAAGTGCTAGGATTCCAGGCATCAGCCATTGTGCCTGGCCTCAAGATCAGAATTTTTATGTAAAATCTTTTGACTTTTATTTATTTATTTATTTATTTTTGCAGTTTTTGACCAGGGCTGGGTTTGAACCCGCCACCTCTGACATATGGGGCCGGTGCCCTACTCCTTTGAGCCACAGGCACTGCCCATCTTTTGAATTTTAAATGTAAGCAGCTAATTCAATTTTTTTAAAAAATTGAAGGGGATTTAAGAAAAAAAAAACTATCATTGGATTTAGTTGTGAGATTGCCAGTTTGCAGCCTTTGTTCTATACTATTATGTTGACTGAAGATAGTTCAAGCTGAAAAGTTGTATACTAGTTTATTGTGATTTTGGAGTAAAGGAGATGGTTTAGAGAAGACTAGATTAGGTTTGTTTTTGTTATCACAGTAGTAAACACAAGGCACACGCAGAAGAGGGATTCTTCCTCTTTTGTTTTAATTCCTGCTTGGGAGGGCAACCTCTTATGTAGATCTCAGACGGGATTCATTCCCAGGGTATAACATTGCCCCTGAGGAATTGCTTTCACTGAGTACTTCAGGCTAAATGACCATCTCACATTTGATGCCCAACCCTGAACTTCTCTTTTATCTCCTGTCTCAGTTCTGTTTCTGATTCCATGTCAGTGCTATGTGGCTAGGTAAATGCGTTTGAAATAGCTTTTTTCTTAACACTTAGCAGTTGTCATAATGATGAGAATTTCACTAGTTTCTAAAGTATGAACTGTGATGTGTTCATTATGTCTTATAAGTATTGGTTCATTTTAGTTGTTTCATACATTTATTCAAATGTAACACAGCATGTATGTGTATACTCCCATACACATATTCCCAATGGTCAGAGAGATTAATCCAGATTGATAAAGTATATAATTCCATTGAATGAATATATGCCCTAGAATGTGCATGAAATAAAACACATGAATCTTCTTGTTCTGCTCTTAAAATCATCCTGTAGTGAGAGCACTTTGCCTCACTGAGTATAACCTGTACTTCATGGGTGATTAAAGAGTTTTCAAGAATTGTTTATTATGTGTACATTTTTCCTTATGAACTGACTTTATCATCAGCTGCCTCCACTGTGTGATTGTACAGGTTGTTGTAATTATGGCATAAAATATATCAGGATCCTCTTTGAGCTATTTTGAACATTTACTGTTCAGGTATAATATTAATGTTGCTTAGATTCATGTTTGGGGAGTGTCACTAGCTCTTTCAAAGTTACTTGCAAAATTTTTTGTGGATATATATGTTGTTTCTTGGAAGAGTTGCATTTGAATCGTAGGCGTTTGTATCTTCAAAATGATAATGTTTCCAACCTAAACATTTCTAATTAATGTTGCATTAAACATTATGGTTCTAGGCAGTAAGATGCCTTTGAGCTTTTTGAAGTAATGATCTAAGGACCAGCACAGAGCTGCTTCTGTCTCTCAGGTTTGCACACTCTTAAATGTCTCTTGTGGGGTTTGATCAAGTGTATTTGGGTTTACACATCCCCTAACTAACTTCTGACCTTTCTCAGGTATGTTAGGAGCTTAGGGCCTGTACCTAGTATGTCTTCCTTTAGCTGTAGAAGGTTGCAACAAGAAAAGTAAGTGAATCAGTTAAGATAAACAAGGCTTTAAGTCAGAGCTCAGGGGCTTGAAACAACAAAGATTACTTTCATACACATACTACATGTCTGTTGTGGGTCAGATCATCTTGTTCTCACATCATCTTGTTCATTCTGGGACCTTGGTTGCCCCAGCATTACTCTCTAGAACTTTGCACTTATCATGGCAGAGGAAAAGAGATATGGTAGTGTAGACTGATTCTTTTTTTTTTTTTTTAATGCTGTTTTCTAGCAGGCCCAGGCCAGGTTCAAACCCTCCAGCTCCAGTGTACGTGGTCGGCACCCTAACCACAGAGCTATAGACACTGAGTCCTGATTCTTAAACTTACAGTTAGTTATGTTCATAATGTTAAGTTCATTAAAAAAAAATTAAAGTTGTAAACAATGCAAGTCACTTGTGGACATTTTATTGGCCAAAGCAAGTTAAATAAGCAAGCCTGGCTTTAAGGGGGTATTTAAGAGTAGCTCTCCACAGGGATGAACCAGCTGTTGGTGAATAGGTAATACAGTCTACCACAGTAGTCGTGAAGGCCAAAGGAGATTCTCAGGCACTGATTCATCATTCTAGGGTCTATGGGTAGGCTCCCAGGAAATCTGTGAAATTGTATGAAAGTTCTGTGTATATGTGCATTTTTATGGGGAACTTTCCTTGGATTCTTAAAGGAGTCATATTTTGACCCCTAAGAGGTTAAGAAATCACTTCTTTAAAAAGTTTGGAGTTGAACAGAGCTCAAAGAAGGATGGGTAAGATTTCAGTTCTAGAGACTCTGTGTTGGCTAAGATTTGCATGACTACAGCTGTTCTCTGTAGGAGATACTGGTGTAGATTTGGGTTTGTATTTCAAGGTGTAGGGAGGCCGTTCCAGGGACTATGTGTGTGTATACTAATGGGATTTTCTCCTGGGGGAACATAGGTTGTATCTGCAGCAAACACTCAATGACACTGTGGGCAGGAAGATTGTCATGGACTTCTTGGGTTTTAACTGGAATTGGATTAATAAACAACAAGGAAAGCGTGGCTGGGGGCAGCTGACCTCTAACCTGCTGCTCATTGGGATGGAAGGTAAGAAATCATTCAGAAAGCCCCCATGGCTTGGAGTCATATGAACCTAATTTCTAGTCCTGTCTCCACTACATATCAGCTTCATGGCTTTGAACAAGTCATTTCACTTTCTTAAACCTCAGCCTACTCATCTGTATAAGAAACATGATATGTAGTAATATCTCATGAATAGTTATGAAGATAAAATGAGAAATTGTATGTTAAGTCTTTGTGCTAGTGGACTTCATGTACTCTAAAAAGTTGCCTTTTCCCTTTCTCAGTTGCTGTGTGAATGCATGTGCTGAGATATTAGGGACCTCTTTGAAATATAGTCATATATCACTTAATGAACAGGGAAAGTTCTACAAAATGTGTTTTTAGGTGATTTTGTCATTTTTTGAGCATTATAGAGTGTACTTAACACAAGCCTAGATGATACAAACTACTACATCCCTAGGCCGTATGGTGTAGCATATTGCCCTTAGACTGCAAACTTACACAGCACATTGCTGTACGGAATACTGTAGACAGTTGTTACTCAGTGGTAAGTAGTTATGTAAAAAAAAAAAATGGTACACCTGAATAGGACAGCTCCATTATAATCTTTTTTTTTTTTTTAAAGACAGAGTTTTATTTTGTCACCCTCGGTAGAGTGCTGTGGTGTCACAGCAACCTCCAGCTCTTGGGCTTTGGTGATTCTCTTGCCTCAGCCTTCCAAGTAGGTGGGACTACAGGCGCCTGCCACAATGCCCAGCTATTTTTTTGTTGCAGTTTGGCCAGGGCTGTGTTTAAACCCGCCACCCTCAGTATATGGGGCCAGCGCCCTACTCACTGAGCCACAGGTACCGCCCAGCTTCATTATAATCTTACAGGACCACTATTGTTTTCGTGGTCCATTGTTTTTGAAATGTTACATGGTATATAACTGTACTGCTGCTTTTTATTGGGTCTGTGTTCAAAAAATTTTTATCCCAATAAAA